CCGTATGTTTCCAATATTCCACCAATTCCTTCCAATCTCTCTTGAACGTTTCCTCATTATCACCTTTAATTAAATTAGTTAATTTATCCATCTCCATAATATCTAACATTTTCAACATCCAATCTTGTGTAGATGGTATCGCCTTCAACTTCCACTTCTTAGCATAAATTATTCTGGCTGCCATTATAAGATTAAAAATTAATTTACCATGTTTTCTTTCCAGATCTTGGTCTTCAAGAATACCCAGTAAGAACATCTGGAGGTCCCTTTTCAGCTTGATTTTTAATATTTCTTCTATCATTTGTATTATTTTATCCCAAAATTCTCTTGCTTTTATACAGCCCCACCAAAGATGATAAAAAGATCTGCTTTTCTTCTCACATTTCCAACAATGATAATCTTGGATTTTCCCCATTTTGGCCAATCTATATGGTGTCAAATACCAACGATATTGAAGCTTATAAAAATTTTCTCTGATACTGCAACTAAGTGTATATTTCATCCATTTTTGCCAGCATCTTCTCCCACTGCTCTAACTCGATATTATGGCCAAAATCCTGAGCCCATTTTATCATTTGCAGTTTTATCATATCCTTCTCCAATTCAATAGCCAATTGGAGATGGCAGACATCCCTACATCTTGTGGCAGTGAGTTCCTCAAGTTAACTGCATGCTGTGTAGACAAACGCTTCCTTTTGGTCCACCCTGAATCTCCACACATTCAGTATCAGTGGATGATTCCAGATGCTAGTATCATTTGGACAACCACCACAGCATTTTAACCAAATTCAGGGCTAGGACTAACATCGTCAAATTTTCTTTCTTTCTTTCTTTCTTTCTTTCTTTCTTTCTTTCTTTCTTTCTTTCTTTCTTTTTTTCTTTCTCCTGTATCCTTGTTAACACCTTTGCCCAATGAAGTAGCTGGTGGAGCTTCGAAAGTTTGCAACATGTATAATGTGCAATTTGGTTGGTCCAATAAAGGGATCACTTTTTTGTGGATTTTGGATGATAGTATACTTTGCTATATGGCCAACGCAGTGAACCCTGGATATGTAGTAGTCTCTTTTATCTGGTGTTGCTAGTATTGTCTTGCTCATATTATCTACTGCCATTATCTATTGTTGCTAGTATTATCTTTATTCACCATGCATAATTTTAGATACTGCTATCAAGTTTCCCCTTTACTGTCCTTTTCTTTTCTAAGCTAAATAGCCCCAAATTTATTACTGCCTGGCATCTTTATATGTAGGACAAGAATTGCAAACAACTTGGGGTTTTTACCGAAATATGCACTCTAGTTCTTTGAGCTGGGTATATACAATATAATTTGTGGAGGGTTAGGTAAAGGGTTTTGTAATTTTGAATTGAGCAGGGCTGGTTTTCAGGGGAGAAAAGCTGCATTTCCTAGAATCCTTACCCAACGTCCCCAAATGTCACCACCATTAGAGATGTGGTTTTCACGTGTTCCCCAGAAAACCTTCAGTTCCCATCATGTTCTGCTCTCAACTCATCTCCCTCATTTTCATCCCATTTGCAGGGAAAGAACTAGGCACTATTTTGATTT